CACAGTTGAGAGGCCCTAGGAATCACAACTGCTTTCTTTTGCAGGTTGCAGAGCGGACTGAGCAAGGCGGGTCTCATCTAGGTTGATTGAACCTTCTAAAATGCGTCCTGGTTTAAAGCGGTTGTCAACTCTATTGAGCTTGGTGTTCGGCATCCTGCTGGGTGCCGAGGCTGGCCGAGCGGGCGAGAAAACCAACCGACAGGTCTATGCGTTTCTGCCCTCTTCAGCGGTTGATCGAGTCTTCTCCACGTCGTTCGGCAACGGAAGTAGACCTTCTGTCCTTGGACAAACTCGCCTTTGGCAGCGTGATGAATCAACTTCCGGTCTGGATCATCTAGATCCCAATAAATTGGTCTTGAGAGGTGGAGGCATGACTCATCTCTCTGGCATGAATCTGTCGCAGGTTGCGGCTAGCCAACCAGCCCGCAGTTTGTGGAGGCGAGCCCCTTTGAGCGTTTCATCGGCAGATGCGATTCCCACTGTAGAAGTGGAAGATGGGAATGCCACTCTGTCTGGTGGTGAGGCCAAAAACTGCCCTGCGCGATGCGTGTGCCGTCAGAAGGAGGTGGAGTGCAGACAAAGTAATCTAATAGAGGTGCCTGACAACCTGGCGCTGGATACCGAAAAGCTGTAAGCTATAGTGCTATCTTGCTTTAGTTGTAGAGAATTATGTGTTTACAGCTACTTTTTATTCCAGCCTGATGACTGGAGTATCTCGTTTTGGGTTGAAGCCAAATCTCATGAAAGTATGCTTGAGCTACTGAAATGAGGGAGGGCTTTATTTTACCATCGACTGGCATTTCAACCCGGCTTTCCAGACCCGATCTTGATCCAGATTAAGGCAATATGGATTTACCTCGATTCACATTTTAGTTAAGGATATCATGAAATACTCATAAATGCTGTATCATCATCAATATTCCTGCTGTTGTACCCTTCATTTCATCCGAAAGGGCGATTTGAAGGGTTTGGTGTATGAGCCTCTCCGGAATCCGATGGAGGAGAGCCTGATTGTGGATTTGTGTACTTTCCGCGATGCCGATGAGCCGTGATTAGCTTTTGTCTGCATGTGACATGTATCGCCAAAGCGTGAATTCGTGCTTTATGAAAATTTACAAACCATTGGGATAATAATTATCTGAGTGTCTAGTCTGTCATCTGACGAAAGGAAGCTTGGCACGGATTTATCGTGATCGCCGAACGGTACGAAAAAACTTATTCTGCTTCGAGGAGGCAAATATGCGAGCCCCTTCCTCTCAGCATCCAAAACAAAATGAAAAGTAGGCTAAACTCAATTTCTAAAGGGATTTTTGAAAGGCCAATTTCTCTTCACAGATCGCGAATATTTTGTGAATGTATTTGAACAGCCGCCTCAAATGAAATGAACCAAAGAATTTATTCGGATAAGTCGCACGCCAATTTGAAACTGTCAACAAAGCTCATGCGTTACTAGGCCAGGTAAAATTCAACTTGGAATTCAGACCGCTTCGAATAAACACTCATTAACTATTATCTGGTTGAATCTGAGCTAAATAATCTTTATTAAATATAGATGTTTCTGCATGGATGTTTTGATAAAATTTTGCTGGAGGGTTCTTAAATCGTTACAATATGAAAGTTGGTTTGATGTGTGAATGGCACCCGATATTCTCCTTTGGGCAGGGTCTAAATGCATTCAAGTTTCCTAAGATATGTTTGTGAGCTTCATGACTTTTTTCAACTTTACGTTCCATAAAAACGCAAACTATGTTATCATGCCTCTTTTGGGAACAATTATTTAGGCCAGCCATTCATATTACAGGACGGTGATGGCTTCTCTTCTTTGCAATACCTTCAGATTATAGATAAATGCATTAGCTTACCAATTGCCTACCATTTTAAGAGAGCTAGTAGGAAAAATAGCAAACAATTTTGTCGTCATGCCAACACTATTATGGGTTTCAGTCTCCTGAATAATATAGCACCTATCCTAGCTGGCTATACATTCATTTTTTCCATTCATATATCACTCTTGCTTGCACGCGGCCCTTATTATACTCAAAATGCATAGGCTTGAGGAATTTTTAGTTTTTAAGCTATCAAAATCTAATTTTGGCTCTTACCACTACTTTCATGCTACTAGCTCTTGAATTCGATTCGTGATTCATTAGCTTGAATTTCGTTGCAACGATGATATCTTGCTCTGATGATGTTCATCATATGACGGATGAAAGCTTAGTACCTTTTAACCTGAATCGAATAAGTTTACCTCGAAAGCAGCGTCATCATGAATGTTTCAGTAAAGCCAATCGACAGCTGATCAAGAGGAATCCGCCTTTGTCTTCTGTTGGAATCGACCTTCGAATCTCTTCGCCAAAGATTAAACATATTCCCTTTTAGGGCACATATCAAGTATTTAAAATCTTTTCCTTGCTCGTCTATTACTGATTATTTGCCTCACATTCTGTTGTATCTGTGTGTAAATTTTTCTTTTCTTATGTGAACCTCAGAGAGTGTTTTATTTATTTATTAGATGTATTTAATACATACTGAATGGCAAATCAAGTAAACCATTTAGTAAGGATGCTTTCTGTCATCGAATAAATTTTCATGCACTTATGCATGCTAGGCTTAGTCCCCCGGGCTCCGATGAGGGTCACATAACCTGCATTTTTTCGTTACATCAGATGTATTCACTCTATTTCGTTTTAGGATGAGGAAGGACTGGCATTTGAATTTCCCCACAATGATATGAGTATAGCTGATTTTTCAATTGAATTGCACATATTCTTGCCTTCCCAAAAGGTGTTCTCCTCCAGGGCTGACCGTAGTTTCGACTTCGCATCGGTCTTATCAACACCCCCAGCGGGAGTCGAACCGTGGCAGTGCAGAATGGGAGCTTGACACGGCCACATTGCCACGAGTGCCCTTAGACCAGAGGGAAATGGAAACGTCAGCTCTGCTCATATAATTGTGTGAAAATTCAACTACCAGTACTTGATCACCTTAAAAGGAAATAGGAGGAAAGCATCTCATATAACTGACTAAGTGATAGTCTCAAAAACCTACTTATAAACGAAAAATAAGTAATGTAGTCGAGATTCATAGCAAATATAACTTCGCCTCATCCACAGTTCCACGAACAAATGTGATATGGAAAAACGCCTGGCCTTACTTAACATTCGTATCTGCCCGCTCACCCAAGGGCACTCGTGGCAATGTGGCATAGTGGCTAATGTGTCGGGATTAGACTTTGCACTGCCATAGTTCGACTCCCGCTGGGGGAATTCATAAGACCTAGGTGAGATCAAAGCTGCGACCCACCCTGGAGGAGAACACCTTTTGAGAAAGCAAGGATATGTGAGATTCAATGGATACATCAGCTTTACTCATATCAATGTGGGAAAATTCATCTACCATTTCTTCATCACCTTAAAACGTAATAGTGTGAATATATCTCATATAAATGACTTGCTGATTGTCTCGAAACTCTTCGTATAAAGGAAAAATTGTTTCGTTACCTTCACATTTACTGGATAAGGATAATGATAGCTTTATTTATCCACTATTATCACATGCACGCTCAGCATAAAATGGACATGAAATCGGAGTAAATTTTTCTTTTCAGGATTGACCACAGACTTTTCTACTCTTGTTTCTGCTAAATTAAATATTTATTAACCTTTTTCAATAGTTGCTTAACCAGGGGGAGACTTAACATGTTTTTTTAAGCTGCTATTTCCAAGTGACCAAACTGGAATACAAAATAATAGATCAAGCACTATTCAGGCGTGCTCAGGTATAAAAATTGGGCAATTTATTTAATAAGACCGTGGCAATCTCACATCCTAACACCTAAAGCATATCAAGTCATGGCCTAGTTGAATAAGTGCGAAATAAATGGGATTTAAGAAATTTTAAGAGACTTCATTGAATGATTCCCGCAACATAAATATGATGACATATGCTTGACATTTATAATAAATTATCATAGATATAACTTATATAAATACCACTAATATAAATCTGCGAGTACAAGTCATGCAATTGTATTACTTAAAACAAAAATTTAGACATTTGCTTG